TCAAAAAGGGGATGACAAAAGCTTTTTGTTTCATCCAAGACACATATGAGGGTCAGAATCTTTTGTCCTGAACATTGAGAGTCATCTGAGAACAGTGTTTTAGTCACGTTCTTAAGGCTTGAAACTCAGTGGTTTAGAAGTGCATTAAAAACGAACTACATTTTATAAAGGGTGCACTGATTGCAGTTTTCAGGCCAATCTTTAAAAAGCCTGACCTGCCAGTTTTTATCTGAAAGGGCCCTAAATATAACTACAAAGTTTATAAGCCCTCAAAGTTTTCTGTGAGCCTGGGATCAGTATCTTGTGACGGTCACTTCAAAACATTCACTTTGTTGCCTTAAGCCACATATAATTTAAGAAACCCCATTTCTTCCCAGCTTTATATTCCTGGTTGATGTTTTAAGATTTTGCCTCTCAGAGTTTGCATGGTGTCGTTTGGCTTGCAAGGTTCCCCTGTTTGTTGACACAATATGTCTCCAAAAATCTGTCTTCTTTTGTTTATTGCAAACTGTAATCAGGCATCAAACATACATTCATCTTTTGGTCTTACCATGGGACAGTATATTCCTGGGAAAGAGAGTGGAATCAGAAATAACATATTTCAAAGGAGATCAGAAAGATTGTGGGTCTTTGGACTGGACAGCTGTACTGTTACAGCAAAATGTCTCACTCCTTTCCCTCAAAGATTGAAAGAGCATAAATATGATAATCTTGATATTTCTGACTTACCCTCTCCAAAAGGACAAAGAGCAGATTGTTACACAAGTGAGCTAAACACAGGATTCCATTGCTGTCTCTGTAAAAGTTTCCATCTGTCCAAAAATGGCTCTGCAATGGAACAGTATGGCATGGCATTAGCAGTCTTGGTGCGACTCTTATCTTAATGTTCTCATGATACATGTTTCTGACTCTATATCCATTTTTTCCTTCAGACCAACTGAAGATCACTAACTTAAGACTGAACTTCACCAAACTTCACACACTTGGAGACACCCTGGTGGACAACAGAGCTGAAATTAAAGAGAAATACTACTACTCCATATACGAACTTGTTGTACGTGGAAACTGCTTTTGCTATGGCCACGCCTCTGAGTGTGCACCCATTGAAGGCATCAGGGACGACATAGAAGGAATGGTAAGTGCTGAGGATTCACATCTAAAACATTTCATGCATTTTACAACTCATTTTTTTCCCCGCATCCATATTGATTGAATTTATTTTCACTCGGGTCCGTCTCAACTCTTTCAAGGTTCATGGCAGATGTGTGTGTAACCATAACACAAAAGGTTTGAACTGTGAGAAATGTGGTGACTTCTACAATGACCAGCCTTGGAGGCCAGCTGAGGGCCGCAACACACACGCTTGCAAGAGTTAGTCTTTACTGTAGATATACTGCCATACTAAAATCTTGGGAACATTTCTTGAGCTGTGGGTTGTTTTTGTCTGAGTAAATATGTCTTCAAATTCAGAGTGTGACTGCAGCGACCATTCAGATAAGTGTCACTTTGACATGGCTGTCTATTTGGCCACTGGAAACACGAGTGGAGGGGTGTGTGAAGACTGCCAGCACAACACAATGGGCCGAAATTGTGAGCTTTGCAAACCGTTCTTCTACAAAGATCCCACAAGGCACATAAGAGACCCCCGTGTTTGCATAGGTGAGTGTGTGGATGGTAAATAAATAAATTTGTGACGGGTCTATAAAAAGATATCGTTGGACATGAATAACATTCATGTTGTCTGTTGAAGTTTGAAACGATTGGATCCGATTTCACCCAATCGCTAACATTTGGTTATGATGTATGTAATACCAGATATGCTATGAAGCGTCCTAGAAATTGCTAGAAACAACTATCCCCAACTACGAAAAGAGAAGTACTGAGCCAAATGACATCTTTGCCAGCAACAAAATGTCTTAAACATTCCTCTTATGAACAGTACTCTATAGAAAGGACAAACCAGAACTAGCATATCAGAACAACTCCATAATACTACCACCAGTGGAAAACGCACTAAGTGCACATAAGAAATAGAATAGATCTTTAGATTTTCTCAAACTGCAGTTTTGACTAACAAATAATAATAATAACCAGGACACATTTGCTCTTCCAGCTTGTGATTGTGACCCAGATGGCTCAGAGAATGGAGGACTGTGTGACAGCCACACTGACCCGTCGCTCGGCATGGTGGGAGGCCAGTGCCGTTGCAAGCTTAATGTAGAAGGGCCACGCTGCGACAAGTGCAAGACCGGCTTCTTTGGCCTGAGTGCCAACAACCCTGTGGGATGCCAACGTAAGTGCAGTTCTAGTTTTCTTATTTGATTGTCTTGGAGAATTTTTTGCTTTTTGATTGCAATGTCTGTGAAGGTAAAATATACAGACTATGTTTGTAAGTAATGTAAAAAATATCTTAACTAGTCATGTATCTGTGACTTTTTCTCCTCTGCAACATTTTTTCTTCAACCTCAAGCTTGTCAATGCGACTCCAGAGGAACCGTGTTGAGCAGCTCCATGTGTGACCCATTCAGTGGAGACTGCATCTGCAAGCGACTTGTCATTGGACGCTTCTGTGACCAGTGTCTAGTAAGATGACACAAAACATTATTTCAGGCCTTGGATTTTGAAGTATTTAATTTCATTAGTCATCAATAATATAAGTAATGTATCGTTTGATAAATGCTTCTGTTTATGTGTAGGTTTATTTACCTTTTGAAAAATAATTTCTCTGTTACCTTTGTTATTAATACTTTTTTAAGTTAGGTAGACTGAAAAGTTGTAAACTACAGAAGCACATTCAGCTGAGTTTGATTGATGCTGAATGAAGTGTGTAGTATTAAAGTAAATGCACCAAATGAAGCTTTTTAGCAGGGGCTCATTTACAGTGCCTTTAAACAAATAATTCATGGGGTGCTGAGGTGGTGCATGGCTTAAGCACAACCCACATATGGAGGCCTTAGACCTTGATGTGGCTGTCACAGGTTAAATTAACGGCCTGGTAACCTTTGCCGCACGTCTTCCCCTTTGTCTCATTACCCACTTTCCATTCAATTCACTGACAAATAAAGGCCACTAGAGCCAATAAAACCTTTAAAAAATAATAATAATAATTCATGTCCCTTGACCATGTGCATTTTGTCATCTTCAAACCACAATCTGCAGTTTGAAAAAAGGTGCTCTGGTCGTCATGCTGCTGGGATGCTTTTATTACCAATCAGCAGTACGTTTACCCCAAAGCATCACCTATTTACCCAAAGTGCCTTCTTGAACCCGCAGTGTCCAGCTGAGCTTCTCAAACCACTTATCAGTTCAGCACTCATAACAACGTTGTAAATTAGTTTATGTAAAATCATTGTTTTGGTGATTTCCTGAAGGTGGAACATCAGAAAGAGCAGGAGTTTAATGCGACTGAAACCAATTTTTAAAAAATCAAAAAAATTTTAAGTCATTTTTGATATATGCGTCATTTTAATCCTTTAAGGTCACTCACAAACTCTAACAAACTAGTCCAAAAAACTCGCCGAAAACTCTTTTAGTAAAATCCAAAATGCCACCACGATCGGTTCTCTTCCTGTCTCCAAATCTCTCTCCAGAGCCGCTGTCTCACCGCGTCTCTCACTCTACTCTATTTTATAGACAAAATTTTACAAACTGTGAACTTTTTCTTTCCACGTCGTAGAACTCCAGAAAAATATGTTGACATTTATGCTTTTTAAAAGGACAAAATATGAAAAGTTGTAAGCGTTGTGAATATGTTTTCAAGGCACGGTAACAATCATGTAGACATTTTTGTGTGCCTAGCAACCCAAGCTGTTAAACAGTGACGAGCCTCCTGTTATAATTCAACCCCTTGTCCTGAACCTACTCAGCCAGGAATAGCATGGGCAGGAATCCGAGCTCCTGCCTGGGTCATGGGTCTAAATTTAGCTGAGGGATTTAAGGTTTGTCCGGCTGGTGTGAGTTACAGTGGTCTTAAAATGGTCAAGCCTTGATGTGTTCCGGGTGTGTGGATCCAGTTGATGAGCCTGATTTATGGTCTTTTCTTACAGAAATTACATTTCATCATCTTGTGTAGAACTTTCATCATTTGGCAAAGTACAATAAAAATCTGGTGACTGTTTGCATACTGTGAACTGTTCTTGTTTTCTAAGAAAACATAGAAACTTTAATAATGTTCTCAGAAAGAGAAGTAGACTTCCTATGAAGTCTACTATATGTAGCTACAGTACATCCTGGTAAACTCCTGTTGTTGCTCTGTCTGTCTTAAAGTCTCACTGCAGGAAAAGTGTTGCAGCTGTTCAACTTTCTTCTTTTTGTGTCTGTCAATCATTGCCTTCTCTCTATCATCATATAACTCTAGTCCGAACACTGGGGGCTGAGTCACGACCTGAACGGATGCAGAGGTTGCGAATGTGATATTGGAGGGGCGCTCGACAACCAGTGAGTGGTGCCGTAAATTCAATCAGAAATCAATTTATTCTTTGATGATTCCATTCAGGTTCTGAACATTTTCCATATATGTGTTTTATTTCCAACATACAATAATTAAACTTGATTTCTCTCTATAAATTGAATTGTGTTTACATTTACTGGAATTATTCTGCGGCATGGAGTGCACCAATAAATCTGCCCCAGTTTCCCTAATTTTAGGAGATCGGCGATCAGCCGATACTTGAATGTGAAACCGATCTTATTCACCAATCTCATCTACCTCCACAAAGGTCTGAAAATCAGTGACTGTCCCTTTTTTTTTAAATGAATGTTAACTTGTAACCGTCCCATTTCAACGAGTCGTATAAAATATCTGTTAAAATTATGAATCATGTATAGGGTTTAAATGATTTTGCACCCACTCTCCTGGTGTTATTTCATGTAAGTTATATGACTTGGTGAGCTTAGGCTTTTTCTCCTTGTACACCTTTTGTTTATTACAGAGTTTTGCTAAAGGTAGGTCTAAATATCCTCTTTAAACACTTCAGCTATAATCAAGAGTTAATGGCCTGTAAACTCAGACCTTATTAGCGTTCGAACTCCACAATGCGTTTCTCATTAGGTAATTTCTTCACTACATTACATATCAATTAGAATTGCTATGTAAAGAGTTTAGCCACAGCTATTGGCACTAATAACAATAAGAGTTCTCAATGATCTGAGAAGTACAGATCACTTTGATCTGTACTTTTCACAGCACAGCCAAAACTTCCCACAGCTCCAACAGTTTCTGTTCAGCTCTTTTTCTTTTTGTCATCCGCTCATCTATTAGAAGGAATTATGGCAAGATTACGCACTCTTAGTTTGTCTTATTGTGATGAGCTATCACAATAAGAGATGAGCTATAGACCCATGCAATAAATTACAATATTTTTGAAAAGTCATTGATTGAACTTTATCACAAAGTGAAACACATAATATAGATTAATTACACACACAGATGGATGTTTGAAAGACATTATTTCTGTTATTTATGAGGATCTTCAACTTTCAGCTAATTAAAACAGGACATTTAAATTAGATTATTACACCACACTATTAAAAAAACTATTTCTAATATAGAAAAACGAACTTAATGAAAAGTATGTTTAATATCTACTTAAATGTTTCCATTTTTAAAAAATACTTTTTATTTGATAAACCAGTTTCATCACAATGCATATTCTATTTTTTTAATATGACTGTACATGATACTTAGCAACATGTTCACCCATTAATTCCAACCTCCTTAAGATGTTAATGTTAGCTCTGTAAAGATTTGTAGGGCAACATTAGTCCTAAATACCACTGTGTATGCACTCTTTTTAGATGCTCCATGGATAGTGGTCAGTGTCGCTGCCGCAGTCACATAATGGGACGCGATTGCACACAGGTGGAGTCTGGATATTTTTTTATGGCTCTGGATCACTTCGTTTATGAAGCTGAATTTGCTCAAATGGGGCAGGTAAGTTTTACCGCATTTTCAACAGAAACCTTTTCAACTTTGATATATTTGATCTGTTTGTTTCTGGGTGCATGGTTTCAGGGTTGCACCTTAGAGACCAGGGAACATCAGCCCGGTCGCCCCGCTCAGTGGACAGATATCGGCTTCGCTCAGGTCCCTCAAGGCGGCACTTTGGAGTTTCTGATAAATAACATACCTTACTCTATGGAATATGATTTAGTCATCCGCTACGAATCCCAGGTTTGTATTATGACTCATGTTAATCTGAGGTCTTTTTTGGTTGTGTACTCCTCAGCTATGAATGAGAAGTTGAATGGAATCTAGTCTGACTATAACGCTGTATCAAATTAAAATAACTTTTAAACATGGACATTTCTGACTGTTATTAACAGCAGACATAACTTGTCAGTCAGCCCTCTGTCAAATGGAGCAAAATGGGTCGGTGACTGATTTTAAGGTAGACTGGTTCAGTGGATAAGATCAGTTTCACATTGTCAACCTCCCAAAACCATGGGATTTATTGATGTATCCATAACCCAATCCTTTATGCTGCCTTCTTGTCTTCAAGTGTATTTTTTTGGCTTCTTTAGTTTTGATTTCTTTGTATGTGTGGACTACTTGGGTTGCTACTGACATCTTTTGTGAATTTCTTTTTAATTGGTAATATTTTTAACAACACATTGGAGTGTTTGACACTTATTTTCCTTGCTGTACATTGGTCTTAGTTGGGTTGTTTTTTTAGTTTATTTGCCTGGGAATCATTTCAAGGAATTTATACCCTCTGAACTCTAGATGCCCCGGGACTGGGAGGAGGTGCAGATAACTGTGATCCGTCCAGGTTCCATTCCCACCAGCAGCCCTTGTGGGAACACCATCCCAGATGACGACAGACTCACCGTCCCTCTGCCAGCCGGAGCCAGGTGTGCGACTCATGCAAACAAGCAATGTCCCACACGCACGCATACTGTGTGTGTGTGAGTACACACACACACACACACACAGATTTCTTTACAGACTTGTATATTCTCATCCAAGCACCAACACTTGTGAGCTTTTCTTTCAGTGTTGATGGGAACTGAGTGCTGCCTCTGTCTTCCCAAGGTTTGTGGTTCTTCCTCAGCCAGTGTGTTTGGAGAGAAGTGTGACATACTCCCTCCGCTTGGAGTTCACACGTTATCAAGATGCTAACAGCATCCTCAACGGAGCAGACTACGCTGTCATCCTCATAGACTCTGTGAGATCAAATTGCGTCTTTGGATCTGCAGTTCTAGTGTCTGGTGATATCCTCTGACTGTAATGGCCGTCTCCGCTCCAGATTGTGCTGATGCCGCGTCACTCCTCCATGGAGATGTTCAACACTGGGGATCTTGCCTCAAACGTCAGGAAGCAGACCTTTGAGCGGTACCGGTGCCAGGAGGGAGCAAGGAGTGTGATCCGCCCACAGATCAGCGATACCTGTGCTAAACTCATCAGCAGCATGTCAGCCGTTATTAATGATGGAGCCTTGGGTGAGGAAATGACAGTCTCTTTCATTTACATTTAAGCGAAAGAGACTGTCTTTTATTTTATATATATATATATATACACACAAACAAACTTGCCAGAAGTACTCTTATCCATATACTCGCACACAAGATAACTATATCTTATCTGTCATGAAGGAAAATTTTCCAAGGCAATGGATTTTAAGTGGGATTACAAAAGGGAAACAAATGAAGTACAATGCATGAAATGTAACAGTGGGGAGTGTAATAGTAGGACTCATAAGGTGCTGTTAGAATAGAACTTATTTTTGTGCTGTTTTCCATCGGATTTGTTTGCTAACCTCTAAAAATAACAGAAAAGGTCTGACTATACAGGGGAAACTGACCCACATAACCATGACAAGTTTGTTTTCCTGGGGAAGATTCATTAAGAGGAGCTTATTAGACCCAAAAGTCTGCAGAAGTTTTACATTCGGTTAAATTCAATTAAAAGTAAATCATTTTGAAACAGGACAGATGTGAATGGCTGAAGATGGGGTTATTTTTCATGTCTTTTGTATTATAATTTTAATATTTTTCATTTGTTTATGCAAGTTAATTTTGCTTCAGTACTGAATCACTGCATGTAAAATTATGCTTTGATAAATTTTGTTTATGTCTACAACAGGTTATTCCTGTTTCCCTCCCTCTCAGATGTAGAATGTCAGACATTCTCTCTCTCCCCTCCAGCCTACCTCAGAGCTGAGGTAGGCTGGAGGGGAGAGAGAGGGACATTAAGAAACAAGAGATCAGCCCCTTAAAGAAACAGTTGAAACAAAGAAGATAACATTCAAACTGTAGAGACAAGGTCCAAAACATACAGAAGCCTGTGTATTAATTGCACAGTTAAAACATTAATGGTGTGTGATTAACCTGTTAACTTTGGCAGCCCTAATATACACATATAGATATATATATTTCAACTTCGGCTGAAATATATATATATATCATGTTTTTGCTCCATCAGCTTGCAACTGTGACCCTCAGGGGTCCATCAGCTCCCTTTGTGATCCCCGTGGAGGCCAGTGTCGCTGCAGGTCCAACATCATTGGTCGGCGCTGTGACAAGTGTGCACCGGGAACTTACGGCTTCGGTCCCTCGGGCTGCATACGTGAGGAACTCGCATAAAGACACACGATATCTTCTTAATTCCTCTACAGGACTTTTGCTTAACTTTAAGATTAAGAGTGTAGTGGAGTTTTCTCAAAGTTGGAAAACAATATCCATGCTTTGGATATCCTTCGTTAAATAAATCTGTGATTTTGTCAATCAGACAGCTGTAAGTCGTGCGCTTCACAATTCTGGCCTTTATGGAAGAGTGTCGAGAAGAAAGGGGTGATGAAAAGAAAGTCATACAAAGTCCTGTTAGGGAGAACCAGAGCATCACCTGGGCATGAAAATTATTGTTCAGATGCTTTCCTTCCGTTTTGACCCAGCTTGAGATATTTTGCAAGGAAGAATTGGCAGAAATATTTTATTTTAGTTGTAGATATTACAAAGCTGGTGGAGACATTCCCAAAAAGGTTTACAGCTGTAATCACAGCAAAAATAGTAGAAGTAGCAAAACTAAGTCACTGGTTGGGGGCAAATTCAAATGCACTGCACACTTTTCAGGTTTTAATCTAAAGAATTATTGAATTTTTTCTTCTACATCATAACTATGCTTTGCTGTTCTAGTTTGTGTTACTCGTTTCAGGTAAGATCCAATAAAATACATAGTAGTTTATGGTTGTAAAATGGTGAAATGTGAAAAATTGAATGGGTATAAATACGTTTTCAAGGCAATGTAACATGCAATCTTTGCATAGGATTTAATGTTAGATTTAATGTTACACACCTTTAAGAAGTTGGAAGACTTATGGTTGGCGCTCTCTACTGTTTCTAAGTAAATATTTCTAAAAGAAACCTCTCTTCCCTGCCTTTCCTCCTTCCCCCCCACCCAATCTACTGCTCCTGGCCCCACATCCTGTGCTTTGTCTCGGCAGCATGCGAGTGCAGCTCAGAGGGGTCAGTGACTCGACTCTGTGACAAGTACACCGGGCAGTGCCAGTGCCGGCCCGGGGCGTTTGGTCAGAGGTGCGACGGGTGTCAGGCGGGTCACTGGGGCTTTCCCAGCTGCCGACCCTGCCAATGTAACGGACATGCCAACCACTGTGACCAGAGAAGTGGAGTCTGCATCAACTGCAGGGACAACACCGGAGGGGACAGTTGTGACAGGTGGCTTTCCAGAATACATTTGGTTAAAACTTTATTTGAATGAATTATGCAATGCAGTAAAATGTTATGTACACCACTTACAGAGCAAGAGATCATTTTGAACTAATCTCAGTTGTGGCTAAACTCTTTTCTCATTTTCTTTGAATGAGTTTGTTACGTCTCCTGTAATCAGGTCAGAGGAATCCTTTTTTCACTTAAAAAAACAAAATGTTTATTCAAAATTTTTATTTATGTGAACAGCTCCTAAATGCTGCCAGAATAATCCAGACATGATGTCCTTAGCATTTCTTTTTGTTTCCTTATGAGTTAAATTATATTTAACTCACTATGAACATAAC